GTCATTCATGTCTTCTGACCTAGTAGGTTTTGCGTTCTTTAATAATGCAGATAATAAAACAAAATAATGAATGTTTTCTGCAATTGGATTTATTTATTTACATTTGGTGGTAATAAGGATTGAACCTAGGGCCTTCACACTGAAATACACCCCAAGACATTTTTTTAATTTTTTATTGTGAGACAGGGTCCCTGTAAGTCACAAAGTTGCCCAGGGTTGGCTCAAACTTGTAATCCTATTGCTTCAGCCTCCTAGAGTCCTGGAATCACAGGCGTGTGCAGTGCCTGACTTATACATTTTTCTTTCTACTTTTTCCCCCTTTTTAAACAGAGTAACATAGTACATATTTTAAAATAAGCAGTCTCAAGATTGCCAAGGCTGGCTTTAAACATGTGCTCTTTCTTCCTTAACCACTTGGGCAGCCAGGACTATACATGTGCTCTACCTTGACTAGCTGTGTGCATAATTTATACTTTTTTTCTTTGCAGAATAAAAGTTTTTGTTTTGTCTGATTTTTTTTTTTTTTTTGAGACAGGGTCTCATTGTGTAGTTCAGACTCGTCTTGAACTCACGGCAGTCTTCCTGCCTTAGCCTCCCCAGTGCTAGGATTATAGGTGTATACCGCCACATCCACCAGGAATAATAAAACCATTTCTTGAAGCCCTTTCCATCATGGTTCATAGGTAGCTTCCTCATGAACCCCTCAGTGGCATATTTAATTAGACCCCTGATGTTACCACCCTGTGGCCACTTTCTGGGGCACTGAGTTCCAGCTGATCCTGTTGACAGACATGTATTAGCTAGTATTCAACAGAATGCCTGTATGTAGTTTCACTTTGCCCAGAACGGTAAGCATTTGGGTGGTATCCTTTCGCTATGTAGGCATTACTTGTTTAACAATTCAGTCCCTGCAGTCGACTAGATCATTAAATGAATTGTTGGCAGGGCCGGGGAGATGGCTCAGTGGAATAAGTGCTTCCCTGACAAGCGTGAGGGTCTGAGTTCAATTCCTGGTTCCGCAAAAAAAAAAAAAAAAAAAGAATTGTTGGCTAAATAAGGAATTGTATGTAGTATGTACATTATAATATTCAGGACCAAGAAGTGGTCAAAAGAAACTTGATTTTTTTTTTTTTTTTACTTGCATAACTCTTACATGCAGTGCTATAATTCTGAGTGACTGTGTGTGTGTGTGTGTGTGTGTGTCTTTTTTTTTTTAACATTTATTTTGTGTGTGTGTGTGTGTGTGTGTGGCCAGCTCAGCCCACCTGGGGGCGGGGCTGGCTGGCATGTGGTGATGGGGGATTGAACC